AACTTTGCCTTTTATTATTTTAATAATTATTATTAATTATTTATTTTGAAATAAACCAAATCTATAAAAAATAAAATATGGTACAATTAGAAACGGTTTATATGATGAATGTTGTTTTATATTTCCGTCTTTCGGATTTAAAAAATTTTATATTCGTTTCCAAAAAGACATCCAAATGTTGTTCATCACTCTACACCAATCCATGGTCTAATGAACTTTCTACTGAAAAATCATTAACACTTATCCAAAAGTATTTTCCCACAATTGAGACTTTAAACATCCCAAATAAACTTGTTGACGATATACCAAATACTTTCAATAAATTTGTCTTGATTAACAATTTTTTGGACAACAATTCATATTATTATCAACAAACAAATACACAACAATACATATGTTCAACTGTATTATTATTGGATTAAAATGATATTAATTGGATTAAAAAGTATAATAATCACGATACCATTTATGTCACTAAAATAGTGATGAATGGTTTTACAATAAATGCCATCAAATCAGGTGTATGGAGTGGATTCCCAAACTTAAAAATAGTCAAAATTCAACATTACAAATCATTTACTAAATTACTAAATTTAATTAACACATTGAAAAGTAAAAAGATCCCACACAACATTCAAGTAATTATCGATATAAATTATAATTATATCAATATTAAACATTTTTATGTAGACGACTTTAATTTACAAAAATTAGTTGCGTTGTTACCAATGAATTATTCACTCAATGTTAAATGGACGTATTGCAACTTCATATTTTCTAAAAAATTTTCAAACAATTATTTCGATTTTGAACATTCACAAAAAGATTTTGATCATTTATATTTTAAAAGTCCCGTCAATTTTATTACTAATGGCGACTATTCACATTTTACAAATGTAATAAATGCACATATTTATGCAACGCGTGTTGTTCTGCCACAAACGGTGGAGGAAATAACACTACATGGTGATAACACTAACATTGTTAACATTAAACATCTTCCAAAATTGACTAAAATTACAAAAACCAACTCAGCAAAACTTCCACTCTGTTTGTTTGACAAATTGTCTTTTAAAAATTTTAAAATAAAAAATGTGAGTTTTTTGTTGTTGCTGTTGTTCCCATTGTTTACAATATCCAAATTTTTATATTTGTGGTACACACAAAACTTGACTTCTGCGATACTATCTTCCAAAGTAGAGAGCGTTTATACAACTGAATTTGCGTTGTTGGGATGTTTGCTCGTATTTGTATTTATGGGAATATATAATATCGTTACAAAAAGAAAACATTATTTGGTAATTACATTTGTATATTCATTTGTTTGTCTTTATGTCATATGGTTATTTGTCGTGTTTTACAACAACCAACAATTTGTAAATAATCTGTATGTTATTGGCATCTATTCATTTTCACTCTCAACTATGTCTTATTTCTTAGCAAAATACTTATTTTTTGTATACAATGGAAATGTTTTTTCATTATATGAAGTTGTGTACTATTACACAAAAACAAAAATAGCAGCAGTGCTATGTTATAGTTTTGATGAAAAAATTGAATCACTAATTTCTTTGTTTTTCTTCTTCGGAGCTTTTGCTTTGTTTTGTTTTCAATTATTGTTCTATACAAGTTGGTTCAATTACATGCCACTTTTTGCAATTTTATTTGTGTGGTGGTATATGTTGATGTTATGTATTGGATATATTTTTTGGTTATTTGAAAATAAATGAAAGTTATTAGTTTTTTTATATCATAAAAAATAAAAAATTGTTTAAAACATAATAAAAAATATTTTAATGTTTAATAAGTTGAGATATAAGAAATAATACATCTATTAGTATATTTAAAATAATAAATAGAGCGTCATACATTATCAAAATTAACATAAAAATTGAAAAAATTAAAAAACAGTGATATATATTTTAGTTATATTTATAATGTGTAATTATTTTAATTGTTAAAATGTAATTGAATTAAAAATTACTCCATATTTTTTTGTTCCAATTAATGATATTCATAAATATCACAAATCTAATCAGTTTCAGTGAAAATAAAATCAATGTTAGGTATGTTTTTGGTTGAAAATTCAAAATACATAACAGCTTTTTTCATTGAGAGTTTAACTCCCTTTTCATTTTTATTTTATTTCTAGAAATATTAGTATCTCATAAATCACTCTTAAACTTAACCGATAAAATAAATGCACAAAAAATGTCAACTTTTTTTTACATATCTTACTCACTAATCAAAATACAAGTACTTATAGTTGATTAAAAAATGCAGATCAAGAACAAAAAACAAACACTGCATGGAGAAGTATTGAAAAAATAAATATGTAATACATTCATTTTGTCTGCTATACCATCGACCATGTAGATTTAAACTTTAACACCAAATAATTTGGAAAAACTGTGGTTTTCAGAAGTCGAAACTAAAACATTACAACACATTTCCGATTTATGCAAAAAAACAAAAATATACACATAGACATGGTCAAATACATATTTCTAATATATTATAAGAATTGATTGTTATTTTATAATTCAATTTATCGACAAATTTGATTTATTTTATCCAACTTTAAAATAATTCTATTTTGACTTGTACTATTAACACTTAAAATAACGCCCTTATTTTTGTTTTGGCCTGTTTTTACAGGGATATTAATCAAATTTTTGATGGTTTTCCTTTTTTTGACTTGTGTATAGTTTATTTACAAAATACTAACTCTAAAAAAAACGGAAATTTATTTAATAAACTCGAGAGTTCCCCGATTTTTAGACCACTTGAATTTTGTTCAATGTTATTTAAAGTGTTAATTGGGATATTTTTAACAAAAAATAACCACGACAATATATATAGTCGGATTTAAATAAACAACAACACTTTTTTCTATAGTAGTATTGGTTTGTTGAAAGTTTAGTACGTCGGCGCGTTGAATACGAAAATTTGTTTATCTATAACAAAAAATATTAAAATGTAAAAGTAATTTAAATTACTTTTCAGCAAAGAAAACGGCACTCCCCTTTTCTTCATATTCTTTTTTCGAAACGTACTTTGTAAAAGAAAGAGATCCTATAACTTTAGCATGTTCAAAATTTTTGTCTATATCGGATTCGGCTTTGACAAAAAGTTCACCATATGTATTATCATATGGTGCGAGTTTATTAATTTCAATGTTTATTCTTTCTTTAAATCCATCAAAACGTTTCCACCAGAACAAAATATACTTCTAAAAAGATATTTTTGCTGATTTTCTGGGAATTGATTGATAGTGTTAACTATAATATTTTGAATAGACTCTTTGCCTTTTCCGAGCTCATAGTTTTGTGGATTGAATATAATTTCTGGTGCTTTATATTTGTCTTTACCCAACTCAATCATCGTTCCATCATTTAATTCATAACTCTTATTTACTTCTTCATCACTTAAACTTCTTTCTTCCTCAATGTCTTCAGCAACATAACAATAACACAGCTTAATATAATTTGCTGTATTGTTTAATTCGATTGGATTACAATCACGCAAAGATGGACATTTTGCAATCAACCTTTTTTAAAGTTCCTGTGTGACAGTAGAGCCACCAAAATTAATCAGAGAACTTTGTTTATAATCTACGATATACCTATAATCATCTTTCCCGTCATCATGAAAAGGCACTATTCGAAGCATTGAATCCCTAAAATGGACAACAACACCTTCATCGATTAACAAACACTTTTCTTCTAAAATTGCTGGTCGTTCAATGTAAAGATCTGAAACGTTCATTTTTTCAAGGCAACTTCAGACATAAAAGTTCTCACATTGTCCGAATCAAAAAGTCTTCTGTAAGCATCA